AAGGCAAACGTGGAGGAAGGCGTTGGCTGCACGGAGCAGATGGCATCACATAGCTGGGTCGTGTTGTGGCTAGTGACTCCCTGTGCCATTGCTGGGAGCGGGGAGATAAGAGATGGGGGGTGGGCGGCGGTCTCTGGGTGAGGGGTGGTGAGGTGGAAAAGGTGCCAGAGGCCAGGGAGTCGTGTGGGATGGGGAAAGTGCTGGTGTCAGTAGGAAGAGCTTGGTCTAGAGAGGATTGTCTGACCCCAGCTGGGCTCTCTGCAGCCTCACAGATGTGCCCCTGGGGGGCTCCAGGGTCATTTCTCCCCACTGGGCGCTGGGGAGAGAGTTGAGAGGCGTTGGTTGGATTTTCTGACTGACAGAGTTGAAGGAAGTGCCAAGGGCTCCACCCCGGAACAGTGAGGTAAATTCTCTACCCCAGGGCATCATTCTAGTGGGTCTGTTACGGAGTGGGCGAGGCTCTGTGGCCTGCAGTGTGCAAGTCGGATGAGATGCTCAGGACGGTCCCTTCTTGCCTTAAAGTTATGAGGGTGGCTCTAGTTGGGGAATGTGCAGGGCTTGCTGTGGGGGATTCTCTAGCCTGGAATATGCCGGAGGCCAGACTAGAACGGGCCCTGCTGACCTTAACACCTGTGAATCTAGCTCTGAGACCCTCAGGAGTTTCTGCCCTTTCCAGATGCTTTACGTTTCCATGAGTTACCTGCCGTAGCTGTCAGCTCGAGAGAGCCCAGATGAAGGGGACGTCCCCTCAGTGACTGCAGGGGCCCCTCAGTGCCCTCTGCAGCTGTGCCCCTGCGGTTAGGGGCAGGGTTGGTGAGTGGCTCTTAGGATGAGTGAATACTTCACGTGCCTACAGAGGAATTGCTTTTATTCTGGTTTCCCCTGGGCTGGAATGGGGCTTGGAGGCAAGGCAGAAGCCTGGTTGGGTGGTGGGACTTTGGTGCACAGACGTGGAGAGCCTGGTGCCCTATTGGATTGAGCTTTCTCAGCCTCCTGCTTTGGGCTGGTTTCCTCTGGCTGCCTTCTCTGGGGCTTGCTTGCCTGCTGTGTTCAGCCTCTTTGAGCTCTGCTCGCCCCAGGAGCAGAAAGGCCCAAGTGATTTGCCATCTGTAGCACAGCTCGGGAGCACAATGCAGGGTTTCTCACACCACTCTGGGTTTGTTGTGCAGCTGTGGAGTCTGAATGTGAGTGTTTAAACAAGCTGGTATTACTCAGGAAATGGCCACCTCCACAGGCTTGGAACATGGGGTCATTGTACTTGCATGAATCACCTGGCAGCCTGCTCCCCCTGTGAAGATGGTGGCTTATGTGAAAGCACTGCACAGCTTTGGCCCTGTCCAGGGGGACTCAGCGAGTGTCGGGCTGTGCTTACCACACAGAGTTGTTAGCAAGAGCTGCCTATTCCTGCCCCGCTGACTGTTCAGGGCGTTGGCCTCTGGAGGCAGTAGGCCTGGCTGTTGTGATTGCACAGGTCCAGCCCTAACTCTCGTGGTGGGAGTTCGTTTGGCCCCTGGATGCCCTTGTCCAAGCACATGAGCTGTGTCCGCTCCATCTCCTGTCGCCCTGTCGCTGGGCTGCACTCATGCTGGCAGCTACATTCGGCCTGGGTTCTGAGACAGCAGAAAGTGAGCTAACTCTTTGTTTTTTCCCTGTCCTTGTGGGTGTAAATGTGTCTGTGGGGAAGAGAATGAACCCCACTTGTGAGGAGAGACCTTGGGCTAACCCTTGCTTGGCTTCCTCCATTAGAAGCCTGGAGAGCATCGTTCTGTTTACCTGGGAACTGTGCGCTCCGGGGCTCGGGGTCAGCAATTCTGCAGAGCCCTCTGCAAAGGCTCCACAAAGAGGCCTGTTGCAACTCAGTTATTGTGTACGTACAGCAGGTGCGGAGGGTTGGATCTCTGAGTCTATGCACAAAAATGCCCTGAATCACAACAATCCAGTCAAGGTGACACAAGCCAGCTAAACCTAGAAACCGTCACTGGGACCCTGGGGGCCGAAGGAGAAAGCACCTGGCCAGGTTCCCAAGGATTGCACGTCCCTCCAGGACAGTCTCCTAAGGGCTCAGGCAATGAACTTCCTGACTCTTTGGCCATCACCTGGACCTGGTGCTGGGTGTATGGAGCCTGGAGAACTGCCCAATCCCGTAGTGGCGTACATGCTGACACACAGGAAGGAGGCCGCTGCACAAGATTCTGTCAGATGCGCTCCTAGCTAAATCCCCATCATTGTGTGTCACAGCTGGAAACCAGGGCGAAAACAGCGAAGGAAAAGCACTTCTCGTTCCATCCTTATTGCCAAGGTCCCCTGCACGCCCAGCCGCTTCACACCTAATGGGTGCAGCCCAGCTCCTGCTCTGAATTACACAGCAGCCGCATCGATAGCTCATGACAGAATTGCCCCAACCGTCAGTTTGATTGAGGGGACCATAGAGTGGAAATCTGACACGTACCATGGAAAGGGCGGATCTGCTGAGCCATTGCGAAACTGGGGGGAGCAGGGAGGATGCTGCGGAGCAGTGGCAGCAACTCCTGTCCCGGTGGAAGGTCTGGGGGGCCCTGCACTGGAATAGGGAGCTGGAAGGGTAAACTCCTCATCAGTGGGGCTGGAGCACTAGCAACCACGGAGGGAGGGTGCTGTGCAGAGCTGCTAAGCCTGCAGGAGGGGAACGCCCCAGCTCTGCCCCTTGCGAGATTAGCGAGCTCTCTTAAATGCAGTAATGTGAGTTATGTGACCATTTGTATGGCCTGGGAATGGCGTTGGACGCTGAGCCTGTCGGGGGGCCAAAGGGCACGAATGTCACATCAGGAGTGTTTCTGCAGCGTGTTGATATGCCTCTGCCTCCCCCACCCAAAGAGAAGTGTTCCCTGCCATGTGCCCGGTCCTCCTCCCCAACTGGCATGGAGCATTCCCTGTTGTGTGTCCTTCCCCTCCTCGGCCATAGATCTCTGCCACCAGCACCCTGTCGGCCCTGTCGCAGCCCCTGGTCTGGGACTGCTCCCCCGGCACCCTGTGTCATCCATGCCCCCCACCCCTGCTGGAAAGGGGGCACTCCCTGTCCAGGTCCCCAGCCGATCTGCAGCTGTTCTCGCTGCTCATCCCGGTGTGGAGCAGCCCGCTCAGTCTGAGGGCCAGGAGTGCTATGTGACCAGACCCATGCAGCAGGGCACTGGGGGAGGGCTGAGCCTTTCAACCCCTGCGTGTCTCCCATGGGCAGCGCTCACGTTGGAGGTGGCCCAGAGCAGCCCTATCACATCCGGTGCTTGTCTCTGCAGCCTGGGCTGAAGGATAAACTATCAGAGCTGTGGGGCAGTGGATCATTCCTCTTATTATTTTCTTCTTTGCAGATGGGGTCGTGGAAAGTTCAGTTCCTTTTAACCCTCACAGTTCTGTTTATTTTCCAGCTGGTAGCACAAATGCAGTGTTTCCCATTACATCACAAAGGGCCTCGGACAGATCCCTCCGAAAAACGTGTTGCAACTGTTTATTTTTTTCCATATTTAAACAGTTCTGACAGCCAGACCTGGCCGAGCCAAGTGATGGAGCTTTGTGAATGAGCCCAGCTCCTGGTGTCTGTGCACAGAGGGCTTCGAAGGCCCTCTTCTCCTCTGCAGCATGTTTGCCGGGGCCGGCTTGGGGATGTGGGTGACTCTGTGCTACACGTGTGCTGATTATGTGCTGGGCTTTGATTAATGGCAGCTCATTCCGTCCAGTTCCCAGGACGCTCTTGAAAACAAGATGTTTCATTTCAGTGCACTTTCCTGGTACATTGATTGCCATAAATAAACGAGTGCAGACTCTGTCCACCTGGAGCAGTTCACGGAGCAGGGGGCCTGCTCCAGCCCCTTGGCTGCCTCTGGCTGTGGAGTCAGTCCCATCCCCCCGCCATTGGTCTCTATCCTGCGCCTCACAGTTCATCAAGGAGGCACAGATGGGCACAGCACAAGGCTGCTGTCTGGGACCCGAAGGCGTGGGGAGCCCAGCTCAGTGTGCTGCTTTCCCTTCCCCATCTCCCTGCACTTCTCCTGCCTTGATCTAAAATCCCTGCTTTCTTGTGTGAAATCATTAACAAGTAGCAGTTGGTTGTGAGCTTGTAGCTGTGCGGTTGGTCTGCTGCCCGAGTGTGCCACTGTGCACCTATTCTGCCCCCGTGTCCCACCTAGACCCTGGGGGCACTGGGCTCCAGCTGCCCTCGGAGGAGAGCAGAGGCTACAGGCAACTGCTGAACTGCTCAAGGTTTTGTGTTGACAGTCTGGGCTCTGCGTGTCACTGGTGCTCGAAGAAGGTGACACACCACACAGGCAGCTTTGCTCCAAAGTGTTGAAATTGTGACCAGAAATGAAACAAGGTGTTACATCTAGTGACTGGCATTTAAAGACAAAGCCCCTGAGGTCCCGCATGGCCACAGCATGTGATGGCAGATAGTGACCTGGGCTCTGTCTGCACTTTGTGAGACACAGATAGGGCCCTGGGGACATGAGCTTCTAGGAGGGGCTGGAGAAAATAGGCTGTGTCTCAGGCAGGGCTGGAGCTGTGGCTGCAGTAGAGGAGAGGGCCGTCCTGAGGCTGTCCAGGAGGTGACTTCCCCCTTCCCAGACATAACCTGGAGCATTACTCCTCTCTGGAGAGAGCTGGATGATTTTCAGCATCACCTGGGGCTTTGGGTGGGGTAGATGCTTCCCCATGTCTCCGTACCAGGTTGGGCTTGCAGGGGGGGCTGTACTCTATGTGTGTGTGTGGGGGGAGGTATCCTGGGAGCTTCCTGGTCCACAGTAGAGGAGTAAGGGGGGCTTTTGACTGTCCTCATCTGCAGAGGGGGGAGAGGGCTTGTGTTAGCAAGTGCTGGGCTCACTGCTCGGGGTAAAACCCATGGGGCTGCACTCCTACCCTGAAGGGTATGTGCTGGGAGGTGCATCTTGCCTCATCTCACCTCCCTGATGTTTGCTGTGATGATGCAGAGAACATGCCAGAATTGCTCACATCTCTTCCCCTCATTCTCCCAGGGTCTCAGTGGATGTGTGGGCGACACTGGCCGACTTCTGTAACATACTGACCACAGTGAATCAGTCGGAGGTGCCGTTGTACAAGGACCCCGATGATGACCTTTCCCTGCTCAGCCTGGAAGAGGATCGGCTCCTTTCGGGCTTTGTCCCCCTGCTGGTCGCCCCCCAGGAGCCCTGCTACGTGGAGAAAACCTCGGACAAGGTCAGCACTAGGCCAAACATCCCCCCTTGATTCCTCCAGACTTTTATTCTTGGGAAGTTTTCTGTGCAAACGGAACACGATTAAGTCATTGAGAAGGGTGTTAAGGGAAAATATCGACCTTTTAGCCGCTGACATCCAGCTCTGTGTCATGAAAACCCCTCTCGACTTCCTCTGGTGTGTGTGTGTGCTCGCTGGCATGTTGTATATACGATCATTTCCTCACTTGTTTAAATAGTGCAGCTTGTGTTGGCAGCGCTCTCACTCCACTCCAAATGGTTTGCATCATGCTTAACGCACCCTCCCCCTCCCCCGGCCACAAAACTCTGGGCTAGGAAAGCAGCCAGGGCTTTTTTCCTTCTCTAAAGAGGAGAGTGATAAATAGGTGACTAGAGAGAAGCAGACACCATGTGTTAACGTACAAAAGGCTTTTAGGAATATAAAGCATTCCCTGCTGCCCGCTCTCTATTTTCCTTTCTTTGCTCTAGGAGCCCGGTCTAGCCTGAACTTTCCTCGGCTGTTGGTTTTTAGACTAATGAAATCAGCTCCCTTGTTGATGTGGGGCTTAGGTTGCATTCTGTGCCACCGCCCGGCCAGGGGGGATGTGGGGGCTGGGGCTGAGAAGGTGCCTGCACTGGCCACGTGCACTCCTGCTGGGGGTGGAGAGAGGAGAGTGACATGGGGTTGGGGACCACACGGGGCAGGGCAGGAATGAGGAGTGGAGCTTGTCAGTCCCCTGTGTCTGTTGCCTGGGTGAGCCCTGCAGGGCAGCATCCCAGAGCTGGAGCTGTCACTCTCACAGGAGGATGTTGTGGTGTTTCCCTGAGCAGAGAGGACTCTAGGAAGAGAAGTGGAGCTGCTGGGACCAAGTCTGTAAGAAAGGTGGGTAAGCTGGGGCTGGCCAGAGATGTGCATTTCCAGGTGTCACTTCTCCATGACCTGTTCCTGAACTGACTGTGAGAAATCTGGGACCCTCGTGAGAAGGGGAACCTGAGAGGTGCTAATTTCTGTTTCACTTCCCTGTCTGCCCCACTGCCCCTTGTAACGCTGCACTGGGGCAGAGAGGAGAATACAGTCACTGTCCCTGTTTCAAGAAGCACCTCGCTCCAGGAAGGAACCATCAGAAGAGGCTCTTTAGGGGCATATTCCTGGGGTTTAAAACAGCAACCCTGCAGTCGCTATTTCTTTCCCCCCCGGAAGCTGGCTTGTGTTGGTGGCCTTGCAGACTGGCTTGGGCTTGGTTCCTCTGGGCGGGAGAAGGCAGTCTGACTCAGGCCATATAGTCAGCCCAAAGCTGACACATGCACCTGCAGTCCCAGCATCCCAATCTTAGCATTGAACCCATGACAGAAACGGCAGACAGCCAGACAGGGTGCTCTGGCCAGAGAGCACAATGTACCTGCTGTGTCAGCATTCCCTGGACTTTGCCATTTCCCACTGGGCACCAGAGGCATTCGGATTACCCTCCCCAAATACTGACATGCTCAAAGCATTGTCCCTTAGCCCTCAGTGAGCTGCAGAGCAGCCACAGAGCTGAGGTTTTCTCCCTTCTTGATCCCCAGTGGGGGATGTAAAGAGAACTGTGGGGGAAAGGGGGGGGGCCATGTCTCGCACAGCGAAGCAGCATCCACCCAAACAGCGTGGGTTTTCTAGGTTGTTGGTAGAGAATGTGAAACTGCCCCTCTCAGTTCTGAATTCTCACACTTTGCTGCTTAGGAAATGTCTCTTTGTTTCCTTTGCAGCCAGTTCTTCACAGCCCCCTGTTTCATTTGCACGGGTGTTAAACTCATTGCCGTGTTCCCCAGACTCTGCATGTGGCAGTCATTTTATCTAAACACAGCAAATACCTAGGAAGAGAGAGACATTTGGATTTTAGCCCCTCTCTGATAATACCTGAGATTGGACTGCAAGTCTTTGGGGCAGGGTCTGTGTTTTTATCTTAAATAATAAATTCTGAGCATTGCGATTGCCAGTTCTTCTGTTCGTTCCCTCAGTCCCATTCTATGGTAGAGTGCTGCAGTCCATCAGAGCCTCTTCACAGCCAGCATTTCTCAGCGGGTCACTGGACATTTGGCCTCCATCTTGCTGTGGATGAACATATTCCACACCTTTCGTTGCTGGGAGGCTCTGCGGTGAGATTCATGCCGGAACCAGCATGCTGTTTAGATTTTTCTGTCTTCTCATGCACTACCACTGAAGCGGTCACCTTTTCCCCTTATAAAGCCAGCTTATCACCAGCTCAAGCTCCCCCATAAGTGTTCATTCCGGGCTGAGCATTGCATGGTGGTGTTTTAATTGGTGTGTGTTGGCCGAATACCTGCTGAAACACACACTTGTATGCAGGACTTGTGCAGTGGAATACAGTGACGCATACCGATCAACTGCAGTCTACATAACTAGCAAAGTGAGACTTCAGACTGTGCCTACAGGTTCACAGACTATGGGCATCTTGTCAGGGCCTCTCCCCCTTCACTGGGAGCTGGTCCCATGCCCCTGGCATCAGGCTCTTATCTAGCTTTGCTCCCCAGGGCAAGTGCTGAGTATGGTGGAGTGAGGCTGCTGGCAGAGGGGAAGGTAAAGACTGAGGGTTTCATCTGTGCCTGCATGGTGCTGGTGGTGGGGGCTTCCAGTGGCAAACATTGGATTGCACTGAAAACACAGCCCATCTGCTCTGTGCACTAGGGGCGTTCTCCCGGGAGTCTTGGGCATCTGATGGTTTCTTCCGCGCTGGCTGGCCATTGATTGCCAGAGGGCTCCTGTGGAGTTGGTGGTAAGGCTGTGCCCGGGCTGTGGAACTCCCAGGTGGGGAGAACGGCCCGGAGATCTCCTCTGGGGTCATTCTGGAGATTTATTTGGATGCTCATCATCACTCAGTGTGCGTCCATTCCTACTAACTCTGCACAGGCTGGGCACACAAAGGAGATCTAGCAGCGCAGTCTGCCATTGAAGTTTGAAACACTGTACAGCACCTGCACCTGTGTGCCTAAGCTAGTACCTGAGTACCAGCTCCTGGGTGAGCCCCGGCCAGAGAGATGGGGAAGAGAAAGTGTTAATGGCCCTTCCCACAATAAATGTCTGTGAATGGGGGGTCCTGAAACCTGAGCCTCTCTCTCTCCTCCCCCAGCCTTGACACATGTTAATAAAAGGTTTTTAAATACCAATAAAAAGGCAACAGCCCCAGCTCACTGGGGTCTGGGGCCTGTGTCCTGGGGAAGGCCCTTCACAAATGTGGTTTTTGCATTTTCACGTTTTTGGCTGGTGAATATGATTGAGGAGAAATGCTCTTTCCCCCGATAACAATACAGTGAGACGCAGGATCAGCAGTGTGTGGATTAAAACCAGACGGTGAATGATTAATACACTTGCTTATGGGGCTAGTCACTACGGCTCCCTCCACTGAAACAAAAGGGAGCCTTTCTCTGTGCGTGTGCTCATAGGAGCATGCGCTTTGTACATGTGTGGTGAACTCACTCACCACTGGCAAGACCCCAAGTGCTCTGCCTCCTGCATGGTCCTGGAAAGGAGTCAAATCCCTGGCATGTGTCTCTGAGTGAGACACTCCAGTCTAGGGATTGGCGCATGCATGGTGGGGCGTCACGCCTGCAGCTACACTTGCCATCTTCCCTACTTGATGAATGCTCAGCTGCCCGCTATGTGCATGGTCCCCTGCTGTGGGAACGGCAAAACCGTGGGTCCCAAACCTGGTTCCATTAAGGGCCTTTGTTTCTCTTTGAAAAGTACAAGCCTCTTTTCTCTGGTTCCAGGCCCAGGTATGTTTTCTGAACTATTAATCTCTTTCTAGTCTGGCTCATATGTTCGGGGTTTCCATAACTGCTGGCCACTGCATTGGCCTCTCAGGAGCTCTCTTTGTTAGGCTTGAGCTAACGTTAGCCCATTTAGCTAGCAGAGCATTGAGCTGCTTATTAGCAAGATGCAGTTTTCTAAAGACTTTCAGCTCTTTTTTTGTGTGAAGTAGAGTATCTGCCCACAAAGAGAGCTCACGCAGAATGGCCAGAGCAATAGGCATTGGAATGCCTCGTGAAAACCTAGGTCCTGTCCTTCCTGAGATGACAGATCTGTGGCTAATCTCCTGAAAGCCTCCTGGGACAGAGGCAAGGCCATTTACCTTCCTGAGAGTGGCTCTGAAGTTTGTTGTCTTGAGCTAAAAGAAAAGCAGCAGGAGGAAGTTCCCATGGGGTGGTTGGTCGAGCAATGTGGGTAATGAGGAGTATAAAGGCTTTGGGCTCAGTTCGGCCACCCGTATGTTGAGCAGCACCTTACTCCACGAGTAATCTCATTGATGGCAGTAGCGCAAGGTGCTGCCCAGCAGGAGTAAGGGTGGCAGAATTGGGCCCTCTGTGAGGGGCAGCCTCATCCCAAACAGGAAAGCGAACCCTGAGGCAAAGTGATGGACCTGCTTCCCAGCACCCTCCTGTGCGCGTCCCCGAGGTGCTGTGTCTGTGCCGAGACACACGGGAACGCTTGCTCCGCCCGTCAGAGCAAGGGGCTTGCAGTTCACTTCGGTGGGGAGGAGGGAAGCAGTGAGAACCCTAGAGTGGAAGAGTCCAAGGAGGAGTCACCTTTGAAGGACTCCTTTCATCTCTGTCTGCCTTGCTTTCCAAACAAGCATCACCAGAGCCCTGCCACACACAGCTACAGGGCAGCATCTGGCAGCCCATAGGCTATGGAATTAAACATTGAAACACCTGCAGACCAATAACTAAACTCCACTTTGACCTCATCCTTCCCTTTCATGTGGTATCTTTGGATCGTAAAAGGCACTGATGGTGAGTTACCATCAACGTCAGAAGTTGATGTCACTGGTAATAGAGAAGAAACTGGGTTTCACCCTCTGAGAAGGTAACATGCAGAGTGTTTCCTGGCTTGAACTCTTGATCTTATTATCTGCATTTCCCTTGAACCTTGTGTGCCAGTGATTGTCTAGACACCCCCTGAGTCACTCGGACATTCTGAATTTGCCAGACATCATTGACATCCTTTGT